ATCTCGTTTTGCGTAACAAAAGTGTATCGATTTGTGGGAAACTGTAAATATGAGACACTTACGTTATTTTTTTGCTAATTCCAAGCTCAATTCGGGTCCCTAAGAGCTAAAATGACCCCTAAAACCTTAACCGAAAATTTTTCAACATGTAAACCAATGAAAAAATTGAATCGGGCTGCAATTTACAATTTATACGAACTTTTAGGCTGCAATTTGCAAAAAAAAATTTATATGGCTGCAATTTGCAAAATACGAATTTTAAATGGCTGCAATTTCCAAATTTTCCTAATATTATATGTAACGTTATTTCAATTTTATTTACCAGCAATATATTGGTAGGTCGTATAGTATGTTTGTAAATCTTAAAAGGGGCCCATTATTATTTGTCTCACATTTGGGCTGCTTAATACAACTCAGCTCTTGGCACAAATCATGTGACCCAAAAGGGGAGAAAAATATATGAAGGGAAAAAGTGATTCTCCATTTCCCCTATTAAAGAGGGAAAGGGACTCCCACTACAATTTTGGCAACCTTCTCTTTATGTTGTAAAGTTAATCTTTTTATCAACACATAATAATATAAATTTAATTTAAAGTCAAGCTTATTGAAATTATGTCCTTTTGACTCTTTGATTGTGCTCGTATACTTTCACTCAAGCAAGTGTTGATTATTTTTATTACTTTTTAAAAATAAAAAATATAAAAAATAAAAAAAATAAAGTGAAGGAGAAAGACCTTGATTGAACCTCAATCCTTACGATCTTTTAGGTCTGATATTTACAGGTCAAATACTTTGAGAATGAAGGGAGAAGGGTAAGAGATCCCCACCCTCAAAGTTTCTCGAGTGGGGATTAAACCTCCAACCTTAAGGTTTAAAGGTACAATCTTTTCCATTAGACCAAACTTACCTTAGGGCTTGTTCTCTTTAACTTAATTTTAGTTTGGTTTAGTTTAGTTCAGTACATTTTCTAGTTTCCTTCTCTCATAAAATATTCAGTTCAGTTTCAATCAGTTCAGTTCAGTTTAGCTCAATTCAGTAAATCAGAACAGACCTTTAGTAGAGTGATAGATTTTATATTTGAATGAGTTTTGTACTGCGTATTCGGTTGTGTTAGGATATATGATGTTAGTACGATACACATGTATTCGCATATTATGTTTTCCAAACTTAGGTATATGAAGAAGATATTACATGTTGGATCAATTGATGTCAACCTCTTTAGTAAATTTTTTTTTTTCTTTTTTGAAGTTTAGAATATTTCTAACTTAATAAACAGAACAGACCCTTAGTAGAGTGATAGAGTTTATATTTGAATGAGTTTTTTACTACGTATTCCGTTGTGTTAGGATATATGATGTTAGTATGATACACATGTATTCGCATATTATGTTTTCCAAACTTAGGCATATGAAGAAGATATTAATGTTGGATCAATCAATGTCAACCTCTTTAGTAAATTTTTTTTTCTTTTTTCTTTTTTGAAGTTTAGAATATTTCTAACTTAATAAACATGTCAAGTTAAAAAGATATGATCAGTTAGAAAAACTTCATTGATATTTATGGGACTTTGAAGTTAGAAAACCGAAGATTCAAAACACTTTGTCTATGTTGCTATCAAATTCCTACCTTACTCCCATTAATTATAGAGAAGTAAAGTGTTTTAAGAACATTGGAATAGCAATACCCATAAATACAACTATTAGACTAAACTAGATTGTTGAATAAGAAAAGCAATTTCTCTTTTACATACTCTATTGCCTAATATACGTCTCTTATTACATTGGTGCTCCTTACCAAAATACTAGTCTAAAATTTTGAATTTGTACAAAATAATTAATACAGATTATACACTTCAATTTTTGAGCAACATCCACTCATTAATCTTAATAAAATATGTTAATGCTATGACAAATAAAACATGCATAAAATTCTACAAAAATAAATAAAATACAACATTTGTTGGTGCCTAACGATGACAAAAAATTCAACATTGCATACCAACCTTATGTATAATAGAAATAGTCCAAACCTTCTAACGGGAGAATTGGAAAAACGGCAAAAAAATCTTGAAGAAATTAAGCAAGAAAACAATAGAAAAGACATAAGAAGAAGAAGAATGAAAAGGACAAAGAATAAATAGTACTTAGAAATTACTTTGGCATAAAATTTTAAAGTTAGAAAAAAAGTGGTAAAAAATCAGTGATTAATGAGTGAAAAAGTAACGGACAAAATGAATATATGTAAGGGGGCCTAACGGACTTATCGATAGAGACGTACGTGGCCGTAGTAGCAATTAGGCAGGATAGTCTTTGATAAAATCATAGGCAAAATGTAAAGAAGAATTGATGCAATGATTCAAAATCTAGTGAGTTTCTCTCACATTTGACCCCACTGTACTATGTATGACCTTCTTCAAGGGTAAAACTAGGGCTAGAATCATAATTATTCGATACGATGTAAATAAGCGGGTCTTGGTCGAGAATTCTAGACTCAAGTTAATTTGTTGAGATGACAGGGTAAAGCTAATTAACTTGTGTGGTTATAATTGTGTATTGTTGTTATTTAAACTATTACTCAATTAGTGTGCAAAATCGATACACGTACACATAATTCGATATAAGATTTTTATGTTATGTGCATACTCTATAAAATAAAGTGACTAAGAGAAATGAAGGGCCGAATTCACTTGTTAAAACAAATAAACAGATATAGACATTATATTATACGGATTATCTCTTTACTTGACTTCTACCAAAAGATAAATTGTATTTAGGGTCTGTTCTAATAGACTGAAATCAGCTAAACTGAACTAAACTGAGCTGAACTGAACTGAAATGAATATTTTATAAGAGAAGGAAATTAGAAGTTAAATTGAACTGAAAATAAACGTATGAGAACAGACCCTTACTTGATTTTATTGGTAAAACCATTTTTACTACGAAGTACAAGATGACTAAGAGAAATGTAGGGCCGAATTCACTTGTTAAAACAAATAAACAGATATAGACATTATATTATACGGATGATCTCTTTACTTGACTTCTACCAAAAGATAAATTGTATTTAAGGTCTGTTCTAATAGACTGAAATCAGGTGAACTGAACTAAACTGAGCTGAGCTGAACTGAAATGAAATGAAATGAATATTTTATAAGAGAAGAAAATTAAAAGTTAAACTAAACTGAAAATAACGTATGAGAACAGGCCCTTACTTGATTTTATTGGTAAAACCATTTTTACTACGAAGTACAAGTTAAACAAATTAATCCTTTGTTGTATGTAGGGGTGAAAGTAAATTGGATAAAAACCGAAAACCGAACCAAACCAAACCGAATAAGCAATTCGGTTCGGTTTTTTTCGGTTTGGATCGGTTTGAAAAAATGAAAACCGAAATATATCGGTTTGGATTCGGGTTTGGGATTCGAAAAACCGAAAACTGAAAACCGAACCGAAGTTTATTAAGCCCACTAATCCCAACCCATTTTCCTACATATGTATATCCAAAATCCTAAACTGTTCCCCTCTTTTCCCATTTCCCTTTCACTTTCTCTCGGCACCTTCCTCACCAAATCCCTAGATTTCCCCACTTTTCTCCCTCACCACCTCACTCCGTCCGTCCACCACCACTCTAGAAGTCCACTTAAGGTATCTCACCACCAGTTCTTGTTTCGGTGTTTGTGCTCTCAACGTATCTCAAAGTTGTTCGCTGGCCGCTCGTGTTTCATTGTTTGTTTTCCCTCATATCACCACCACTTCACCGCCGACCACCACCACGTCTCCTCACCACCACCTCTCTGGTCAGTCACTCAAAGGAAATGATATTAGTAAAGAGGTGCAGAAGCAGAAGATTTTATTTTTCTATTTAATTTTTTTATAACTCAAAGGAAATTATATTAGGAAATGAATAGATCTGAGGTTTTGAGCCAAATTATTGAAGGAATGCATGAAGCAGAAGATCTGATTTATTTATTTAATTTCTTTTTTAATCGGTGGACAAATTCATAATGGTTGATTGTATGTAATTAATTCTCAGTTTAGTTTGTGTAATTTTATGTTTGTAATTATAAAGATTGCTTAGTTTTCTTATACTTCAATTAGCATCTAGTAAAAAATTCGGTTTATGGATCGGTTTCGGTTTGCTAATCAGAAATTCGGTTCGGTTTGGTTTGGACCGAATTAAAATTCGGTGTGGATTTGGATTGAAAAATGTAAAACCGAATTATTTCGGTTTGGTTTCGATTTGGGCCATAATCCAAACTGAACACCGAACTTTCACCCCTAGTTGTATGTTGTCTTTTTCCAGCTTATTGTATTGTCCCTAATCAAATTTTAAGCCTATTATTAGTAACAATTTTTTTTAAAGCTAATTCCAAAGAATACGTCATAGTATGATATTTTTACAAAAATTGTGACTCCTATTAATTTGCTCAAGACAAAGGAAAAAAAGTTGTTGAGACTTATTAATTACACTTACACCTCTTTAGTTAGTTTATTGCTGGAATTGATGATACGTCAATAAACTAATTGCCCTCGTGAAACAACTTTGCAACACACAATTACTCATATGTGAAAAGACCATTTTGCCCCTTACTTTCGCTCCACAACCTACGTTGCTAAGACTTCAGAGGTGGCAAACGAGTCCATTGACACTTTCTGTATGAACAATTAGCATCAGTTAATACCTTAGGTTTCAAATCACTTTCTAATATTTTCAATGCATTTTCCCCGTCTAATTCAAATTTAATCAACTAAATCACATTCCTTTTCGAGTTAAATCAATTTAAATTAGCTCACTCATTATTTAGAGTAAGTTTAAACTAAACAATTTTAAATAGAGGCGTCAAATATTGACCTAACTCGATTAGATTTTATATAATATGAAAGGAACGTGCAATTAATCTAAAATTAGACATATGTAGTATATAATAAACAAAATGATTTAACATGACTCAACTTAACATAAAACCGACCCAAAGACAGTTTGATACAACTAATCTCAAATATGAAAACAATATGAATAATCCAGATCGAGTCGGAATTATCAAATCTATACCCTCGTCCTCACCCACAAGCCAATGTGAGAGTTTCTTCAAGGGCTGTACTTGACAAATTGACATAAATAGCGCGTTTTATTATTATTATTTTTTAACCCCAACCCCTTTCTATATAATATAGAATACACCTTATTATATATGTCCACCTAATCTGGCTTGCCATTATCATTATTCATATATTCATATTTTACATCTCACTCTCCCTCTCCCTCTCCTTATCACACTCTAACGGCTTCCCCTGCTTTATATACTACGGCTACTTCACCCCCTTCTTAAAAAATCCACATTATTCTCTCTCTCTTTAATTCTCCCTTCTTTCAGACATTTCATCAAACACCTTCCGTGCAACTCAGCTAATCAACCTTGCCGACCTCCATTAACCTTACATCAATGGCGGAACGCCATGGAAGAGAAGCAGAGACTTCCCAGAACGACACTGCAACTACAGCTACTGCTACTGCTACTCCTTCAACTTCATCTTCTCAATCCCTTTCTGGGTTAACTCAATCCTCTCCCCAAATCAACAACAAACGAAAGAGAGAAAACAGCAAAGACCTAGTTTACAGAGGAGTGAGAAAACGAGCTTGGGGCAAATGGGTATCCGAAATTCGAGAACCCAGAAAAAAATCACGAATATGGCTTGGTACATTCAACACACCAGAAATGGCGGCGCGTGCTCACGACGTTGCCGCACTTTGCATCAAAGGTAAATCCGCAATTCTCAACTTCCCTGAACTCGCTAACTCACTCCCTCGACCTGCGTCGAATTCGCCGCGTGATGTTCAAGCTGCTGCCGCTTTAGCCGCTGCGACGGCGATGGAGTCGCACGCGCCGTCTCCTGCGGTGTCTTCGTCTTCTTCGGAGGTTAATGGGCCTATTGGGCCTGAAGAGGAACTGAGTCAGATTGTCGAGTTACCGAGTTTGGAAGATGTGGGTGATGACTCGGCCGAGTCGAAGGCCGAGTTAGTGTTGGTTGACTCGGTTGAAGAGTGGGCTTACTCGCCTGGTTGGACGGTCGAGATGGGTTTATGTGGGTACTTGTTTGAATCAACGGCTGACATTTCATTGGCTGATTATTATGGGGTAGGATATACAAATGTTGATTATTACTAAAAATTTATTAAAAAATATAAAAATTACTTTTGTAAACATTTTATTTTATGTTTGGGAGAGTGGAAAATTTCTTCCTGTTAATATTAAAAATTTTAGATTTTTCTATATTTTTTTTAGTTTGTATAAATATACTAGTAGGATGGATAAATGTGTGATGATGAAATTTTTTTTGTGTGAAATTTCAATGAGTGTAGATGAAATTAGAGATTTTTTTTTTCTACTCTTATTATGTCATGAAAGTTTTTTACCTAAATTTAGGTGTAAAATTATCAAAACTTGTGTTTATAAAAGTTGAGTTTGGCAAAACTTGTTTGCTTATACCATTCACATGTTTTATCATACTCCAATACTCTACTTAAAGGCTTAAAGCACGTAAGTTTGTCAATGCAATCGTTAAGTATATTAATCATAATTATAAAAAAAAATAATACATAAAACATGATTAGAGATATTGACAACTTTTAAAGATCGAGGGAGTATATAATTACGTCTTTGTAATTGTCCGCATTATATCATTTTAATCAAACTTAAAGACACACTTTCCCCCAAAAATAGTGCATATAGGAGAGGAAATCGTTTTGAAATAGTAAGCTGTCACAAATAGACAAGCATAGCTAGTAAGGAGAAACAACCTTACCTTGTGGATGTTATCCACATTCTTGAGTTAAATGGAATGGAAAACAACAACATACTCCCTCACCCTAAGATACTGTTGACTTTGTAATGTTGATATAAAAATAATAATTAAGTAGGCTTTCAAAATTTGCATGACATGATATGTTATTATAAAATTATCGAATTTGGCTTAAAGTTTCATAATTCGATAAATTAATTGAGTTAAATGACACGTTTAATTTAAACTTGAGTTAAAATAATGATCAAACTTGACACGAAAAATGGCCAAAATAAAAGGCAACCCCATCAAACTAGCAACGATTATGGCGGAAAACAACAACATGCCTATTATTTGCATGACACGAAATCTTATTACAAAATTATTGAATTTGGCTTAGAAGTTCCATAACTGGATAAATTAATTGAGTTATATTTCACATTTAATTTAAACTTGAGCTAAAATAATGATCAACTTGACACGCTTCAACCCATTAATCAAAATGGCCAAAATAAAAGGCGATCATGTCAAACTAACAACGAGTATGGCAGAAAACAACAACATGCCTATTATTTCATACTTGAATAATAATCCTTTATTTCTAATTTAATTTCAACCTTAAGTATTTTATATCCGGTAATGATATGATCATAAGCTAATTATTGCTATTTTGGATTCAAAAACACCATGAGGAAGAAGCTAGTGGTCAAGTTTGTTACTACAACCTTGACATTATCCAACTTAACTTAATCCACTTTCAAATCCAAAAAAAAAATAATACGAAGTAAAAAATAAATAAAAAATTAAGACTATTGCTGAAAACAATTTCTTACTAAGGTTGTTAGATCGGCACATTCATCAAACCATGCCATACTCCATAGTTTGATTTGCATCATGAGATAACATAATATATACTTAGCTAGCAAGTGAATTAACAAGTAACAACCATGTGCGTCCCTCACTAATTTTATTTCCCTTTCAACTAATATACATTGAAAAATAAAAGTCAAAGTTAATACTTTGCTAAAATGTTTTATTTTACCCTATTATAAGAAATTATTCAAAAATAAATCGACTCAATCTGACATTTAAACAAGTATATTACAGAGTATATGATATCGATAAGAATAACATTTCTTTAACCCCTAGTTTATCCTAAAACGGTCGTTCAATTTCACTAATACTAGTAATAATAATACTAAAATTGTAGCCGTTAGTTAGTGATGTTAACACTCAAACATGAGATATTGTGAAATGTAAATAGAAAAAAATGATTTTGAGGCAAAAAAGAAAGTTAGGGGGAGTTAGCTTTTGGGAGACAGCAAAGCATTTAAGAGGATGTGACAAGGACTTTTACTCGGTTTAGTAATAGTGTTATCTAATTGTCTTTATTTGGGTGGTAAATTTTATCTTTTTACGGCTTCACTTTACTTATCCATTTTGGAATTTAATGCTGCCATGCCAAAACTACTTTATATTTAAGGAGTTTTCTGGTATAGCAGATGAACATGCCAGATTGCCAGACAGAGAGGGAGGTTAACAGTAGTGCCAGTAGTAGTATTTGACCAAACAGTATATAGATACTAGATATTCTACTGAAATTATTCTCCCCTTCAAAACAAAAAAGAATTTTCATTGGGTGCCATTGAGGTTTATCAAAATTAACAAGGTAGTTTTTGTAAAATTTGAAGTTCACTGGCCATACTTGCTGATTGTGGTAGAGCTTGAATTTTTACTCCCTCCGGTTTTTTTTTTAAGTGTGTGGGATTTTGGTACCATTCATTAAATATATATTTTGACTAATGTTTGTGAAAAATATATTCTCTTTGTTCCAAAGTACTCGTAACGGTTTGATTTTTTGCACTATTCACACGTTTCACCTTGATCATCTTTTTTAGCTATTATATGAAACTCAATGTAATCATATAAGATGTTGAGCTTATGTTAATGTGTAGTTTCTTAATATAATCTTCTTTATAAATTATGGAGTACTTCCTCCGTTGTTTTATAGTTGCAATAGTTTGGCTTTTACACTATTCATGTGTTTCACTTTGACTAGTTTTGACGATTTTTGTAAAAAAAAAAACAATAGTCATGTGGGATCTTGTTAGGTTTGTCTCGATCTATACAATTATAATATCTAAAGTTTATAATTTTTACATATTGGTAATTAAAGATATTAACGATTGAAAATATACATCGCCAAGTGTGAAAAGAGAAGTGTTGCAACTATTAAAAAAAAAAAAAAAAAAAGAGGAAGTACATAAATACGAAGTATATAATAAAAGACGTAGACGGTGAAACATGCGCATCATCAAGCGTGACTAGTCAAAATGTTGCAAGTAAACTAGAACAGAGGGAGTGTTGAAATAGCTGGCACAGGAAGTAGAGAGGGGGAGGTAAGAGAATCCCTTTACTCCCAATCATTTTGTACTTGGTGGGACTCGAACTTGAGACCTCAAAGTCACAAGGTGAGTTCCTCACCAACTCCACTAAGCAAATCTTAGAGCCTATTCTCTTACAATTATTTTCAGTTCAGTTCATCAGTTCAATTCAGTTCAGCTCCTAATTTCCTTCTCTCATAAAATACTCAGTTCAATTCAACTCTAATAAGTTTAGTTCAGTCAGCTCTAATAAGTTTAGTTTAGTCAATGAGAATAGACCCTAGTAACAAAATCCCTAGTAACAAGATTCTACTTGATCATGTGTTTCTAATATTTCTTACATTTAATGAAACATTTTAAATCTGACAAAGAATATGAAATAAAAGGAGAAAGTAATTACATTTTTAAAAAAAATTTATTTATTTATTTAGCATGAGCTTAAGCAGAACAAACAAACCTACAATAAAATAATTACATTATATTTTGAACGTTAGTTAATATTGTGTAATATGTTTAAAGTCAATTAAAGGATAAAGTAATTACATTTTGTTTATGAATGTGGAGTATACATAATGATAATCATCAATACATAACATGAGTAATGTATACTCATACTATGCACAAATCTTAGGGCCTGATCAATTCACCTTATCTTCACTTATTTTAAGTCTAATAAATTATGTTAAGGGTTCTTATTTTCACTTATTTCAGGTTTAATAATTTTAAATAAGTTAAAATAAAATAAGTTTTGGAAAAATAAATTCTGATAAGGTTTACCAGAGTTCAAATTACAACTTAAATATATTTTTATAAGTTCAGATAAGTTAAGTTCAAATAAGTAGAAATTAGGTGAATTGAACACTACACCCTTAAATCCTAAATATACCCAACTTTAAAGTACAATTAAAGTAATTTTTAATAAGTTTATACAATTAAATAAAAATCTTGATGAATAAAACACACCATATATATTGAATTTGTAAAAAAAAAAAAAAAAAAAAAAAAAAAAAAAAAAAAAAAAAAAAAAGAGAAATTATAGGATAGAAGGTTCATATATATACGGATTATTAATTATCTTCTTTAAATGCATGCCAGCTTTATAATTATATGCTTCAAGTCGTGTAACAATATAATAATGACATATGTAAGATATATGACGTTCTATAAGTCATAATCACAAGAACGGTAGATGAGGGTATATAGGATTTGTAATAATGCTCTTTGAGATTTATGTGGTTCTCTTAAACATAAATATCTATTAAGGGTCCAACGAATTGTCCTCTCAACATGGTTCTTGTCTAGTGTGGACTCTCGATCACTGTTGTTAGAGCTAATTAATGCTTTGGGTTGACAAAACTATGTTATTAAATGACGTTGTAATAATAAGTTTCCTATGTAAAAGAATTATATACGGTCGTAACTAGGTTTGGATAAATAATCATCTTGACGAATAAGGTGAGATACTATACAGTTAAACGTACATTGTTAAATCATCTATTCCGTATATCCATTACTTAATGTGACGTGAGTAAGAAATAAACATTAGTCATGCAAGAGAACATCAAATCAGCATAATTCCAATTATGAAATTATCAAAATAGACTTTTTACCAATGTATAATCTTTCATTAACTATAAGAAAGTACAAATTAAAGTCATAGAGTACTCCTAGCCTCCTAAGTACTTGCGTTGTAAAGAAACATTACTTGTGCTTATATGTAAAACACACACCTAACCTAAATTATTAAAATATAAAATCTTATATATAATCCAAATTAAGGTTTTGATTAAGGCGACAATGACTTTAAACTTTTAAGAGAAGGCAACAAAATTTTCCCTAGTAACATTGTTTTCTGCATGGATGTATATATATGTTGTGATTAAGGATATATTGTCCCTAGCATGGCATAATCAATTTAGTTTGGTGGTGTGTTATGTTCATAGATCATGTTGAAAATGACTAGAAGCTCATGTGTTAAATTCTCTACCCAATCTTGATTGAACAGGTGTAATTTTTGAAACATAGTTACTATGTATATGACGTGGCTTGTTTAGCACCATACTCTATGCTTTACACTATTTCAGTCCCATAATACTTGACACAATTACCATTTTCGTCAGTTTCAAAATACTTGACATGTTACCAAATATGGAATGAAAACCACTAATTTTTTAAAAAGAAAATTTATTTATTTTTTTCTATATTCTCTTTGGAACCACAAACCTCAAAACCCAATTAAGGACCTGTTCGTTTCAGCTTAATTTCAGCTTAGTCTAGTTTCAATTAGTTCAATATAGTTTAGTTCCTAATTTCCTTCTTTCGTAAACAATTTAATTCAGTTCAGTTCAGTAAATCAAAACAAACCCTAAATCTTACGTTTTCTCTCTTCTCACTACCTCCACCTCCCCACCTTTTATAATCTTACAATATAAAAATACAAAAGAGAATCCTTTATACAAGTATAATATTATTTTAAATGGACACACTTGTAATTTTCTTAAATTACGTGTCTACCCAAACGTCCCAAATATAATGGGACGGA